GTTCCACAACATAGTCCACTGACTAAGAAAACAGAATGAATTTTATGCTCATCCTTCGTGCTTAAAAAAAATCAATGCATTTCAGATGATGTTGTAAGAATAAAATGCAGTAACTTATTAATGTAAAGAACATTTATATCCTTTATAAAGGGCCTATATATAAATATATATATATATATATATATATATATATATATATATATATATATATATATATATACATATATATATATAATTAAAGAAAACAGCCATGTCTCTCTCCTAGACTAATGTTCAGTGGGAAAATAACAAGCAGGATTCGGACAAGCAGAGAGATATAGGAGTGTTATTGATCCCAGGCAAATGCACTGGTAATGCCTTGTGTGAGAGGGTGTAAAATTAACTTATTCCACAGCACTGAAACTCACATCTAAATAATGGACAGGTAGGTAAATCAAAAAAGAACAAATTACAAAAAAACGAGAATTGACTGTAGAAGAAAACCTAATGCTTTAAAACACAGTATTGTTCGTTATATAACTATTTAATCATCTGCTAACAAAAATGAATATTTTTTTTTAATTTACAAAAAAAAATTAAGTTTCTAAACTATAAAAACGTAAATTGTGTGTATTATTTTGCAGTTTAAAATAAGAGTACACGCAAAGCCAACGCCCCGCTGACTGTCAGCGCAATGGCTGAGGCTAAATAAATACAGCTTTATAAAGTCAAAGCGCGGCGATTTGTTATAATTAAATCAGCGTTAATATAAAGCAATCCATTTAATTTAATCATTCAATATTTAAGTAATTGCAAAAATAAGCAATTAGAAATATAAGCATTAGGCTATAATTAGTTAAACACAACAGTCACAAAATACTTAAATTGTTAAAAAGGGACAATAACAAACTATATTTTTAGACAAATGCGTAAAAGAGGACGCAAGCATAAACAGTGCTCAAAACCCCCGGAGCAGCGATAGATTTTATTCAGAGGCACTGCTGCGGTTGGGGCGCTTTACCTAACAAACAAAGTATCTCACTCACCATAAAATTTCAAATGTTCCGCCTCGGTACTAAATAAAAAGGTACATGAATAGGCGTGTCTGCACGCTTCAAAACATAATAGAAGGGGACATGGTGAAGTTAGGCAATCCAAGGACTACACCTGATTATTTTCATCTTTATACAACCGTCCAAACACTTGTCACGCACGCGCATCTTAAATATTTCTCCAGGATTTCAGAAGATTCCTTTAAGGAACACGACCTTTCCCTGTGCTCAAACTGTGGTATTTTTTGTAGATTATTTTAATTACCATAGCGTGCCACCATCTGCATGACAAATGAGCTTTCGGTGAAGTGTTTATTAGCACGTGAAAACATAAACATGCACGAGGGCGGGTGGGTATGAGTTAACGGGGTTAATTCTAGTTTAATTCGTTGGGAAACAGCACGCTTGTCGATAACACGCAACAGACAAAAGGCCAATCAAGCTGGTGCGTTTGAGAAATGCGTGCTTCATTTACTCTCAGTGCACGGGATCGGATAGATTTTTCTTTTGAATCCAAACCAGAAACACTTTCCCACTCGTATATTATCGCAAGTTAGAGCCGCAGAAGTTCTTGCTGTCTTCATCCTCGCTGTGTGTGGGGAAAGATGCTCTCCTCTCCTCCTAATTGTCAACAAGAATAAAAACGTTTGATTGCGCTTGCTGGTTTTAATTCTACAAATCCAGATTAAAATAACTCTGGCCATTGATCCGGCCAGTGGAATCGACATTAATTTTAGTTCACTTCTCACTTTGCACGGGGATCAATGAGAAGCAATAACAACTGACATCGGCTCTGAAAAGGACAGAACAGAAAACGCAGGGCTAAAAATCGAAATGCTGACGAATAAATCATCTGTTACTTTTCTTTCATTCTCTGATCGTGTGTTGTCTCGTTGGGACCCGAACCGGACTGCTGTGTTAAATTATTCGGTGGCAAAAAAAAAAAAAAAAAAAAAATTATGGGATAAAAAGAAGTAATGAAACACTGAATTATTGGAGCCGCGCGGTTTAGTTTTAAAATGCAAGAGCGCAACAGGGTGGGTGTCCTGGTATTCATTTGGTATTATAAATCCAGATAAAAGAGACAAATAACTTTTTGACTATTTCATAAACTTAAATGTTTTAGCCTATATATGATTTAGCTACATAATCTCTTATTTTTAATTAAAATTAATATGAATGTTAAAACTGTTAAGATAAACATTGTACACATACGATTCTATAATGATCCGTATCTCACTGTCCTATATAAATTTATAATATAATAAAATTTAACACTCAAGTGAGTTTGACATTAGGTGTATAAACATTTATCCACACTATTATCTGAAAAGATAATGTAATCTTGGAAGATTTTAATTCTGTCTAATGGCTATTTAAAAGATTCCAAATATAAGACAATTATATAAGCAATTATATATATATTTAAGTCAACATCAAACAATCACACATTAAGTATTGGAATAAAGATTTATTACTAAAAATCTACAATTAAATATCGAGTAAATTAAGCGTGTAATTGTAAAAAATGATTCGGCCTGCTTGCACAGAGCGCCTCAATAAAGCGCGTTTCTGTCCTGTAGAACAGTTTCAAAATAAAGATAATCAGCGAATAAAAAACTCCCCATGCATATTTAGGAGTAAAGATTTTTTTCTGGTGTAAATATAAAACAAAGTAATAAATATTAATTGTAGTCAATTGCAATATATTCACAGTTGTAAAGTGCAAAATAGTTTACTGCACACTGCCGTTAAATAACACGGGAATAAATAATTAGCTATCCTGCAAATGAAAATTCACACATAAAAGACGTTAATTTAACGAAGCCATCTACCTAAGGAACGTATTGTGTCATCCAAAATATAAATAATTGATGTGACTTATGTAGACTGCAGAATTATAGACTGTTTATGTAGCTCTGCTCTAACATTTAGTGAAAATATTTAGATCATAAATCTATGAATGCAAACACAACACAACCCAAAAACGATCTATAATGTTGCATGAAATTAGACATAATTATTAAATATATTTTAATGTGCATTTTAATTGTTCTATTTTCTATTCATAAGTTATTATTTATTATAAATAAAATAATATGAATAATATGAATGAAAATAATGATTTATAAAATTATTTAAATGATTGCAAAACTTAAATAATTAAACATATCAGTGCTATGGTGTTATTAAAAGATAGTATAAATTATACACTGAAGGTGTGTTGATAATACAGTCTTAGTCTGAAAACCCTGCCTAAGATTTTCCTTGGAAAAATATTAACAACTCCTGAGTAGAACGGAAACACTCCCGTACGTGTTGTGTAAATTGTAGTGACCCATAGTAAACAGGTGTTTCCTTGCACCTTGTTTCCTTACTGCACGTATCTGATTCACTTTGCTCTCTATATAAGTGCTATCCAACTAAGTGCTCCGAGTAGGCCTATAGTTTTCTTATTTAACAACCATTGTTGACAGATTAATTTAAAACGAAACATTTCTTTTTCAATTAACACACATGCGCGCGAATTCTGGAGGAACAAAAATAAAGTGGCCAACAATCTACTGTGGCTTGAGAACAAAATATAAATTATCCGCAACATTGGTCTCGAGCGCATTAATTCCCGCTCTGATTACAGACTATAAATGGAGAGGACTATAAATGGAATAGTAAAATCTCCACTCTCAGGAGCACTTCTCACGTCCACTACCAGTCACAAATTAGTAGGGAGCGTAACTGAACTACCCAAGCAGTTGGTTTTAAAAGCCGGTCTGCGCTGATAGCGTTCGTTATTAAAGGTTAACCCACTGAACATCACACTCAAGCATGTTTTACTCGTGGGTGGCCGCAGACACGCGCACATCATCACGGGTATCATTATAACAAGTTCCTCTTCAGTTCCGTCAACCAAAAACAGAGGATTTTAAAAGACATGCGTTAATTTCCCAGGAAAGCACTTGTGCAACTGTTAAATGTGAGTTTATGTTTGCCGGCATTTTTTAAACGTATACGTCAAATTATTGCAAAATATTTAGGGTGATTTTGTTCATTTAAAAATATGTTGTAAGAGACTTCTGGCGTTTCCACCGTGTAGCATTACATTCAAAACTTTAATGTACTGTTTTTGCAAACTTTACCATGATGAACTGATGTTCAAGTCAAAACAAGCAAAGTGTTTTAGGAGTTCAGAAACTCTTCCACACTATCAGCGAACTTGCTCCATGTAGTCACTAAAATAATTGCCACAATCAACCCATTACGCGCGAGTGAAACATTGTGTCTGATAGGAGAGCTATTGATATAGAATAATAAAGTTGCGCATCATCACCTTAACTCAATTTCCACACAAGAAAAAGCAAACAACAACAATAACAAATGCAATACTATCCAGGAGCAAGAGACAGCCGCGTTAGGGTACGTTAATTCAGGCTCGGGGGTCACCCATTAAACAGTCTGATAAAAGCGGATTTCTCCACATAAACATGAGACGCGCTCCCACTGGATCACAAAAACAATCTCTGTCAAGACATTCAGAGCACTTACGTTGTTTTAAAAAATCCCTCGGAAGGTTTAGCTGTCCTTTTATCCCGACAACCGAAACTTTTGGAAACCGGAGAGCGAAGATCACCGCGAAGCAAGCGCCTCGAGGAAACAACGTGAGACGGTCGCCGCGCGTGAGACAGAGTTCCCGGGTCGTGTCGTGTGTTGAGAGTTGTATCAGTTGCATGAACCGATGAGAACGAGTCAGCGCTCAGTGGCAAAGTAGAGACGATAGGCAGAGATTTGCTCAGAGGTAGAAACAGTGTTGGAGGTGCAGTGCTGCCGCTCAGCGCCAGGTTCGCTCATTGACTGACATTCATTCTCTCCTCCTCGCGCGCTGAGGACCCTGACCCCCCTTCTCCGCGCTCCCGTGGGGGATCTCATGGGCTGTTTTGTGAGCACGGAATGAATTATCGTCTCTCTTCACCATTTAGAAGACCAGGGAAATGAAGTCCGCAGCAAAACAAAAGATGTTTCAACAATGCGCGAGGTCTGCAGAAATAGGTAAGTGTGCAGCGTCCCACCGCGCGCTCTGGGCTGCTCGCGAGTTTGTCTTTAGCTGTTTTCACTCCGTGCAGCCCCCTTACAAGTGTGTTTACGTGTTGTAAAAAGTCATTCTAGTCTACTTGTTGCTTTTTTTTTGCACATACCTGCTACTGGAGTTGAGTAAGTCCCATAAACGCGTCTTAACATCTGTCAATGTGTAAAAAACGGAAAAATGTATTCTTTCATTAAAAAAAAAAACACACACACAAACGCTGCTATCACATTATTTACGTAGCTTTACTTAAACTTAATCGCAGTTGATGTTTAAAGATAATATAACATTAACACTGAACAATACCACACAGAAATCCACCTGCTGGACAGAGCTGGAATTGCACATGGCTTCTTCAGCCTCAAACAAACGGCAAAAATAAAGCGCAGGTTTACAAATGTCAACTAATGTCTTGTTTTGGCTAATAACGCGTATTCTGTTTTATTGTCATATCTAAAAGAAGTCTCTACAAGAAGTTATGTGTGCTCCCAGGCCAAAGTAATGGGAGGCAGTGCAATGTAAGGGTGATGGGAGGGCAGTAGCCATACATATGTGCATTATACTGCATTACATTAGCACTCTCTTGTATTGCTAATGACCTCCGTTAAAGCATCAGTGAAACAGAGGAGGAAAAAGCCCATCCATGTCCAAGGTCCCTTTCCATTCAAAATCAAATTTCAGGCCTCAGTCTCTTAACATGTCTCTAAATGGACTGGTGTGAATTGGTGAAGTGCTTTGATGACAGCTCTTTTTACCAGGGCTTAAGCACAAATCCTCTCCTCCATTTCCAGAGCCCCTTGATTCGATTGAAATTATTTTACATTCTCTCCGGACTGTATCAAATAACAAAACATATTACTATGACTTGATTGAATCCATTACAAGCAAAGCTGGGACATTTATAAATCTACACTTCAGTCGATATAAAAGTTGAGGTAGCCAGAGTGTATACGATCCGCTTTCTCTTTATGATTGAGAGACTTTCAGTGGCCTGTATGAATGTGGAAAATCTTTGAAATTGGATAAAAGATATTAACCGAAGGATGTAGTTCGACCAAAAATGGACTTAAACTTGAACTATCAAACATGTAGGTGACTTTTTTCCTATCAGTAGAATTTTAAAGAAGGTTTCAGCATATATAACATACATATTTAAAGCAAAAGTATTAATGATGGCTACTTGTGATAAACCGAGGTCTTCTGAAGCATAAAACAATTATAAAATTGCTGTATGCAAATAAAGAGTTTAGATGCAAAAACCTCTAGAAGCCATTTGATACTTTCTCCTAAAAATAGCAATTTTCTCCAACTCCTGTATGTAGGCTCAGCAATTTTACTTTTAAAGGGACAAATAAGTTCTTTTCATTGCCTTTCAAGTGAAGCAACAAAACATAAACATAGGAGGCTGAGAAAAACACTAATTTTAGGATAACATTTCAGATGGCATTTAAAGGTTTTTGCAGCTGAACTCTTCAAATAAACATTGTTTAAAACATTCACACTTTTAGTGGCCAATATGAATGTGAAAAGTCTTTGAAATTGGATAAAATATATGAGCAGAAGGATGTAGTTTGACCAAAAATGGAATTTACTCAAACTTGGGCTATCAAACATGTAGGTGATTCTTTTTCTTTTCTTTCAGTAGAACTTCAAAGAAGATTTTAGCTGAAATCCAGGTTCTTAAAAATTTCTATCAGCACTTTGAGAGTCAAAAACATATTTAGGCAAAACAAAAGTATAAGTGATGCTTCCTTGTGATAAATTAAGGTCTTCTGAAGCAAAAGAAAAAAAAGAAAAAATGGTGTATGCAAATAAAAATTGTTTTACACATGAGTAAATGTAGTAGACAACACTGGCAAGAGGCACATATCATTGTGTGCCAAGAAATATTTTATGTCACAAACACATTGAGGAAAGCTTGCACAGGCTGTAGATTAAAGGAAAGAATAATAATGTTATAAATCATTTTTAATTTCTTGCAAAGATAATTTAACGTCACAAAGACCTCATTTTATAATCGGAGCAGCATTTTTTTACTAAAAAAACGTTCGCCATTGAAATGCATTTTATGAACCTCCAAAGACCTAAAGTTTCTTTAATGCTCTACTGAAGAAAAAAATCCCCTACATGCATTTCCATTTTCTGTGAACAAAATCCCTTGTAAATTATATTTTAAAAACATGCTTAATGTTTGAAGAACAGGGTCAATTTGACCCATTAACAGCTCTTTTCGTTGTTTTCAGGTCTCATTTGTCATTCTTGCCATGTCTATGTGAACGCAGAAGAGGAGTAAAAATCATCGCCGCTGGAAAGGGAAGTTAAACATCACACGTTCATTTACGTTGAGTGATTTTGACTTCTCAGATGTCCCTTTAATGCAGAGCGCAGTGATAATTGAGGGACCCGTGTTGAGGCAGGACGGTCGCTGTAATAACAGAGACATCTTTTCAACACAGCAGTCAGGTCTTAATTATTACCTTTACAACAGCGATCGCAGTGAAACGGGTACCAGAGGACCTATAGCGAGAGATGTCCCATACAATGGAGGCTCAGCACAGATTCCTCATTAGCATATGTCAGCCATGTGCTTCAGATGGCTATTCATTTCTGTCACTTAGCACTTGGAAGTGCTCATGCTAAGAGCTGGTAAATTAAATGCTGTATTCCTGCACTGTAACCTAAGATTACGCTGTTGTCACTGAGCCTGTCTCCGCTAGTAGATTACTTCTTAAAAATAATTTTAAAAAGGACAGGCCAAAAAGAAAAAGAAAATAATGTAATGGACGAGCAAAATGGTGCTGCTGTGGAAATGATTGACAGCTACAATATGAATGAAAACCAATCAGAACTAGTGGCTGACTGTTCTTTTCACCTGACAAAAACAAACATGTTATACTCAGACTGATATGAAAATTAAAGGGATAGTTTATGCAGAAATGAACAATCTGTCAACGTTTACTCACCCTCACGTCATTCCAAATATGTTTCATTTACTTCTGTCGGAAACAAAAGGAAGATTATTTGAAGAAAATTGGCTCCATTTTGTTACTTAAAAATACTTTAAAAACTTTTTCCCCCTTTATTGAGTAAATGACCACTTTAAACACGTTTAATTAGAAAAGTAAAATAATAAATAGTACTATGAAATAGATGATCCATTTACTCCACAACTGCCTGCCACATTCACAGAGACACACACAAAAAAGTAAAGTCTTTGGAGTGACTCCCGTCAGAACACAATTAGGATGAATGGGCATCTAAAGTGACAACATTACATAAATTCAGATTTCACTATTCACATTGCAAAACATCCATACTGTTTTTGATATAGAACCACTTTAAAGACTTTTAATTAGAAAAGTAAGAGAATAAATAGTACTTTGAAACAGATGGAATGATCCATTTTCTTCTCCACAACAGTCTGCCGCATTCAAAGAGGCACAAAAAAACTGTAAAGTCTTTGGAGTGACTGTCGTCAGAACACAATTAGGATGAATGGGGATCTAGTGACTACATCACATACATTCAGATTTGACTGTTCACATTGCAGAACATTCATTCATTCATTTTCTTGTCAGCTTAGTCCCTTTATTAATCTGGGTCGCCACAGCGGAATGAACCAACTTATCCAGCAAGTTTTTACGCAGCGGATGCCCTTCCAGCCGCGACCCATCTCTGGGAAACATCCACACACACATTTACACACACACTGTACACACAATTCACCTGTACCGCATGTCTTTGGACTGTGGGGGAAACCGGAGCAACCGGAGGAAACCCACGCGAAGGCAGGGAGAACAAGCAAACTCCACACAGAAACGCCAACTGAGCCGAGGTTTGAACCAGCGACCCAGTGACCTTCTTGCTATGAGGCGACAGCACTACCTACTGCGCCACTCTCTGGCCCACATTGCAGGACAACTATTCTGTTTTTGATATAGAACCACATAAAGAAGTGGTCAAAGCAGAATTAAAAACATCAGATTGGATGCAGTATGTGCAGTTTACACCGTTATCTGCACTGTGAAAATAAAACAAAATAATGTAAGTAAACCCATTGTAACTTGGAACTGTTAAGTTGATTTAATTTTTATAATTATGCAAATTGTACTTATTTTTTAAAATAAAAACAAACTAATAACTTTTTTTTCCAATACACCTTTATTATATTAGTTTTTTTCCCAGCTTTTCTGTATCTAGCAAAATCTTTGCTCTTCCAGACTCTAGTGTGTCTTCTAAATTCAATACAGGCTATAAGTGTAGATTTTATAGACTTAATGAACCACCAAATATGTAATATTGTAATAATTACAGTAATTATTTGAAAACAGGCGTGCTAAATTGTCTGACACTGTAAAAAGAGATTACTTGACTCTAAAAATTAAGTACAATTTGCATAATTATAAAGTTAAGTAAACTTAACAGTTGCAAGTTCCAATGGGTTTGCTTACATTATTTTTGTATATCCAACTTGTTGCTTTTAAGACAATTAGTTTACTTGCTTTAAGTAACTAATCACTTTTTACAGTGTGAATAGCATATGGGCAAAAAAACAAACAAACAAAGCCAGATTCACATCTGAACTAGCATTGTGAGCACAGCCTTTGTGTCATGAAGAAGATCGACCTTCATGAAGATCACAGATCAAAACTACAATCTTACAAATAAAGCTTCTTTCAAGAGTTGACACTTAGATAATTGAGTATAAAGCGTGTTTGGCATGCTGTCCTGGGAGAGAGCCCTGAGCTCATAAGATCCTCGAGCCCTGGGCTCCCTCCCGTTTGCACGGCGAGAGGGGAGTTTGAGCAGGTAGGTCTCGAGAACTCCCCTACTAGCAAAGGGCAGATTAGGGATCGCTATGAAGGTATACTGCTGATTGAGCTTATCTAAGGTGCCGATTTGGTTTGGTCAATGTACTGTCGCATGTCTTTGGACTGTGGGAGGAAACCGGAGAACCCCAGGGAAACCCACACAAGCACGTGGAGAACATGTAAACAGAAATGTAATCTGGCCAGGTAAAGACTTGAACTAGTGACATTCTTGCTGTGAGGCAACAGTGCTAACCACTGGGTGGTCCTGTCAAGGAAAAGGAGAGGAGTAGGAGTGATGAGGGGATTTTTCAATAGGAAGATGACTAAGGCCCCATATACACTGCCAGTTAAATGTGAACCAATTCCAATTTTTTTGCTCATACAGTATGTGACACAGATCAGATCTATTCTGTGACTTTGTAAACATAAAAAAATAAATAAATAAATACATAAAACGCATGCATTCGAATATTCAGAGATCGGTTTCAGGCCTCTTTCATATGTGGAAATAAATCAGACACAGTAAACAACAAGTAAACACACAGTAAACAACAACAACAGAGGAAACATGGAGAAGGAAAGTGGTCAGTCGCCACAATTTGCTCCCACCAGACCTGAGATCTCTCTTGCACCCAAAAATTCAGCTGAATCGTGGAGGACACAATATATAAACCATAGGCGCAAGCTGTGATGGCGGCCCTTTCCCTCCTCCTCCGCCTCAAAATTATTTTAAAGTTGAGCGAACTTCGCATATTTCGCAGAGCTAAAAGCAAGAAAATTTCTTCCATCATGGCTAGTGTGGTGCAGATGCTGGAACCCGCCTTTACGCATTTATGCATAAAATGCATTGCAAGTGTAAACACAAAAATTGGATATCGGTCACAATTAAAAGAACATGTAAACGGACAGGCAAAAAAAAATCTGATATAGGCAACAAATCAGAATTGAGAATCAAGACTTGACAGTGTAAACAGCGTCTAAGGTAAGGCACTCTGGTCATTTATAGTGAGTTAGGAGTCATCTGATTGGTGAATCATGCATTAGCTAATGTGGGATCAGCCACGGTCAATCATAAGCATGTGATCCTCTCGAAATTAGTTTAGAAATAAACCACACTTATGGAGTTCATGGTTCCATTGAGAATGTTTAACATGACATTTTTCATTCCCCAAAAGATTGTTTATGATGGAAAAGTGTACTTTAGATATTAAATTGCACACTTCCCACTTTTAATACACTTTTCAAACAGTAAACAAATATTTTCACTAAAGATTAACATTTAAATTTTATTAAAATTTCTTTAAGAAACCAAAAATGTTCTTCTGTGGCTTCACTGTGAAAACCCTGTTTTTGTTATTTTCTTTGCAACTTACTTTTACAATGTGTACTGTGTTTTTAAGCTGTCAAAAACAAATATGTTGTACACAGTATGACAAACAATTTTAATTGAAAGTTTACACAACATTTGCTCACCCTCATTTCAAGCCTGTATGGATGCTTTTTCTGTAAGAAAACAGTACTTATTTACCTACGACTGTATAAACACACACACACAAAATAACAATATATTTTTAGCAAATATTAGAATACTTAGAATTTGGAAAAAGATATGGAATGATACCTGTTATCTGCTGTAGCATCTGCAAAGAAAAGAAAACAGAATTAAGAATGAAGGACAAAGATAGAATGACAGATGATTGTGATTCCTGCTACTCTTTCATTCTTTTTCTCAACCAATTCCTGTACTCAAGGTGTCATGAAGAAGATTCACCCCAGCACAGAAGCTGATATGACCTTCTTGGTTCTGTTTATTTTTTAAGCTAAAAAAAAAAAAAACACAGAATTACACAAAGTCTCTTTCTAAATCTGCACCGGAGGACACCCATCACTCTCAATGGATATTTTGCGACGTCTCTATACATCGCACATGCACAAATACACACAAAAGAACAGAGGGAGTGAAAGACAGAGGGGGAGAGCGAGAGCGTAAGCATTCATACTGTAGACAGTGCTACATGATCAAAGGCTGCGGGGAGAGAAGGGGAAACGAGAGCTCTAAAAATGGTTCTGCAGCTGATTCTGTGAGTCCTGGCAGTCACTCTCTCCAAATGCACACACACACACACACACACGCATATATATGCACGTGTGCTTGGTGCTTTCATATTTAACTAAAGGCAGGGCCCGGCGTGTGTCACAATCCAACAGGGGGACACGCAGCTTTCGCTCGTTTGAGGAGCGGAGGCTTTGTTTTCTCTTGGTGGTGTGGCATGGAGTATCTGGGGGGGCTGAGAGATTGTTTCTCTTCTCTCTTAACAGGAAACAGCATCAGGAATGAAGGGGGAAAGTGAGACAACGCAAACAGGGAAACCCGAAAGCTCTCGAGATTCTCAGAGACTCTGCTGTAGAATATGGTGCTATAACTCCCCTACATAAAATCAATGATTTGTTTAATTTAGACAGAGCTCGTAAATGTGCTAATTTCAGAGACAGCCTACAAATCTAAAGGGCCTTGTTATCCCATTTGCTGCTCCATTAGTTGGGAAATGATACAGCCCAGCGTTGTTAAGAAACTGAACGTTCAGTCTCGCTACTCAAAGGAGGAAATAAGTGACAGTGCTGTGATTATTAATGACAAAAAAAGGAATTTAAACAAGCTAACGATAGATGCACAATTTCACATGGCACTATTTTTACATTTTTATAGCACTATTATAATTATTATTTTAGTTAGTATCAGTAGTAGTATTTATACTTTTTGCTACATTTGAAAAAAGTTAAAATATAAACTTATAGAGAGAAAATTTATTATTTTACTAATAAAAGCTGTAATATATGTTTATTTCAAGTTACAAGCTTGTATATATTTTTCTTCATAAATTAAATATTTAACTAGATTTTTAATTTAATATTTTTAAACACTGTATTGATTTTAGTATAGCTTTTAACATGTAGTACAGAAATCAAAAACAAACATACAAAATAATGTAAATAAATAAAAAAATTTATAATAAATATGTAAGAATAAAATGAATAATTAAATAAATAAATAAACACACACACACACACACACACACACACACAAATATATAAGCAACAATTATATAATTAAATCCATGTACAATACATACAA